TCAATTTAAAGTGCACTATTTCTGGCAGTCTGCAAAGGCCCTATGTGAGCCAGCATGGTGTGGTAGTTTGAACATTGGACTACCACTCTAGAGAACAGGATTTGAATTCTGGCTCAGTCATGAAAACCCACCAGGTGGTCTTGGGCAAGTCACACACTCTCAACCTCAGAGGATAGCAATCCTCTGAATAAACCTTGCCAAGAAAGCCCTGTGATAAGGTTGCATTAGGGTTGCCATAGGTCAGAAATGACTTGAAGGCACACAACAACAACAAGAAACTATGCAGCCCAGGAACCTTTGCTTCTGGGTTCCTCTTGTGAGCCTGTTCACCAAAAACTGTTTGGCAAGGAGGGGGAAGGATGGAGAAAGGGTAGCTCTCTAGATCTTTTTGGACTGCAACTCCCATCACCTCTCATGACAGACTAAGCATGCTAGCTAGAGGTGATGGTATTTGCAGTCTTGGAGGACCACAAGTTACTCATCCTTACTATACTGTCTAAGTATTTTCTTCTTGTTGCTGTGTGCCTTCAAGTTGTTTCCAACTTATGGTGACCGTAAGGCAAACCTATTGTGGGGTTATCTTGGTGAATTTCTTAAGAAGGGGTTTGCCATTGCCATCTTCTGAGGCTAAGAGAGTGTGACTTGCCCCAAGGTCACCCAGTGGGTTTACATAACTAGGTAGGGATTGAAACCTGGTCTCCCAGAGACTGGTCCAACACTCAAACAGCTACGCCAAACTGGCTCTCTAGTTATTTCCTACAAGGAGTGATATTTCAACCTCAACAGGTATTCTTTGGCTGAAACACTGAGCTGTTTTCTTGTTCTTAGGATCTGTGCTACATTCTTGCTTTGGTAAGTAGAGTTTCATAGAGAAAATGGATGGTGGGGGAAAGGGTGAAGCACTTCCTTTCCCACTGATCTGCTCCCCACCCCCAGGAGTGGAAATTTTGTGGCCCTCCAAATCTTGGCTAGGTCTGCTGGAAATGGTAGTTCAACAACATTTGGGCCTCGTTCCCTGTGGGGTTAATTCACTGGCATGCCATGGTAATCTCATATTTCCCT